CTTCTAACATATACCAAGCAAGTCACTTAATTTCTCAGTGCCCCCAGGCAACACTCTGTAAAACCGTAAGCTTCAGTAAGCTGCAGTAAGACGGTAAGGTGCTTGTATGCATTGGTTAAGGGAATTCGTTTCCTACACCACTGACTGACAGAGAAAGACTGATAGAGAAAGACACGGAGGCCATTTGCTATGAGCTAGCTCCCCCTTCTCCCTCTGTCTTCATCTCAAAACACCTTGACATCATCTCCCACTATCTCCTCCCTCTTTTTGCTCAGACTCTAATAATGAGGTGGCCTTCCTCCTAGCCAAGGCTAAGCCCTCCATATGTGCCCTTGAATTCGTCTTCTCCAGCAGATCACCCCCTCAATCATTCTTTCTTTTTTATCTTCATTCTCTCCCTATCTACTGACTCCATCCCTGTGGCCTTCAAACATGCCCAGGTCTCCCTCATCCTTAAAATACTGACATTAAATCCTACCACCCCCTTAAGACAACTCCTAGGAAATTCCATCTACGTTTGCTGCCTCCATTTTCTCTCCTCTCACTCCTCAACCTTTTGCAATCTGACTTCCAACCTCATTGTCCAACTGAAGCTGTCATCTCTAAACTTGCCCATGATCCGATCCATTGAGATAATATTTGTAATACCATTAGTACAGTGCCAGGCACATAATGGGCAATGCTTATTTCTTCTCCCTTTCCCTCCCTCTCCTTTCCTCAATCTTGATCCTTCTTGACATCTCTGCTGTGTTTTAGATTGTTGACCCCCCTCTCCTCCTGAAGTGTTTTCTTTTCTGCTAAGCGCTTTCTTATTATTATCTCATTTGATTATTTCTTTTATTATCTCATTATTATTATTATCATCATATTATCTCATTATTATGTTATCCTCTCTGGATTTCTGTGGCATTTGTCTCTCCTGATTCTCCTCCTACCTGTCTAGCCTCCCCTTTTCAGTATCTTGCTGGTCTATCACATCCACTAACTGTGGATTTTAGCTCAGAGCTCTGTCCTGGGTCCTCTTTTCTTTTCTCCCTATACACACTCTCTCTTGGTGGGTGACTTCCTTATCTCCCATGGATCCAATTATCATCTCTGTGCAGACAATTCCTGTATTCCTATATCTAACCAGAGGCAGTCCCCTGAACGCCTTTCTTGCTTCACCTGCTGCCCTTTGGACATTTCAAACTGGACATCCCAGTAACATCTCAAATTCATCACTCCAAAATTGAACCTCCCCAACCCCTCCCCATTGAACAGCGCTGTGTAGGAGGGTGCCACCATTTTTCCAGTCTCCCAGGTTCTTCATCAGCCTCACTGTCTTTCATTCCCCCATATCTAATTCAGTTCTGAACTTTGCCATTTCTATATCTCAAACGTCTCTCAAATATGATCCCTTCTCTCCTCTCACAGTCACCACCTTAGTTCAGGCTATCATCATGTCTACCCTGGACTACTGCAATCGACTCTTAGTCTTGTCCTATCTCCACTCCAATCCATTTTCCTCTCAGCTGTTAAAGCCATTTTCCTTACCTGCAGGTCTGACTCCCCCCCCTCCCAGTATATTCCAGCAGCTTCCTATTGCGTCTAAGATAAATATAAACTTCGATGTGGCATTTAAATCCTTTTAAAACATGGCCCCAACCAATGTTTTCAGCCTCATTATACATTCCTCTCCTTCCAGAACTCTATAAGCCAGTCAAACTGGCCTTTTCCCTGTTTTTTTTTTTTAAACGCAGAATGCTCCATCTTGTCTTCATGCATTTGCACTGGCTGTCCCCCATGAATAGAATGCGCTCCTTCTTCACCTCCATCTCCCAGAATCACATTTAAGACACTACTCAGGGACCACCTTTTGCATGAAATCTTTCCTGATTCCACCCAGTTGCTAATACCTTCTTTCCCTAACTGCTTTACATTCATTCTGTATGTACTTAGTATATAGACACATATACAGAAGCAGTATAGAGTATTGGAAAGTGAGCTGGCCCCAAAGCCACAAAGACCTGACTGGCTGTGTGGCCCTGGATAAATCATTTCACCTCTCAGTGCTCTAGACCAACTCTCCAAGAATTGTAGAATAGATGCCAAACCTGGATTGGTACAGGGAGTTCCCTCATTCAGAAGCTCTCTCTATATCAATGAAATCACAGGACCTTTCCCTAATTATCTCCTTTGATAGAAGAGAGAACTGTCTCTCTCTCTCTCTTTTTTTTTCCCCCCTCCCGTGTATTTCCCTAGCACAGTGTGTCTGGCACATACTTCCTACTTAATAAATGCTCATAGACCGATTATTGATTTGAGACAGTCAGTTTGGTGTAGTAAACAATGACTCCCACCTTCGAGTCAGGGAGACTCGCTTCTAGACCCGGCTCGGACACAGACTGGCTGAATGACCCTGGGCAAATGTCTTTCTCTCCCAGTGCCCCAGGTAAGTCTTTTAAGACTATGAATCATCACACCGCAGGTGCGGATCTGCATAGACAGAGCGAGTTTCTTAACCTTAACCAGGCATTCCCTACTAAACCAATGAAAACACAAGTCCATCCAGTCAAAAAAGAAATCAGAAGAATCCATTATATAATGAATTCTACATTATAATGTTAGCAAGATATACTTTCTATTATAACGCCGTTACAATATACAACTAGAGGCAGCCAGATACAGTGAAGAGCAAACACGGCTCGGCGTCGTGAAAACCTGGGTTCGAATACGGTTTCTGACTCGTACCGGCTATGTAATCCTGGACAAATCATTTAAATCTCTCAGCTCTCTTAAGACAACCAGTTGCACAGCGGGTATCGATTTGCATCGGTAGAAGGAGTTTTCTCACCAGGAATTCCCTATACCAATGAAATCACAAAGTCTGGGGGGAAAAATCCAACTCTGTTCTCGTATACCCTTAACAGCGGCGAAAAATTCGGACTTGGCATCCGATTTTCACCTGAATGTTTCCGATGAGTTCCTCGTCAACCCCCTCCCCAAAAAAACAAACAGTGGCATGAAATCTTCCCTCATTTTTGCAAAGAGTGTCACTTAAATACGCTATTTTTAGCCAGGTCAACAAATCAGTTCACGCACCAACACTGTTAGCTCTTGACGGGAGCAGCTTAATCGGAGTGAAAAAATGCGAAGAAATCACGAACTTAAAAAATCTGCGGGGTTTTAGAGAAATATTGTTCCTTTCATTCCTGTTTACAGGGAAAGGCACAGTTGATTTTTAAAAAAAAAATTATGTAACACCATCAGAAAACCGAAACGGTCCTAGAAAAAAGGGAAATAGAACAATACCCCCTTCACGGACTGCCTGTTCCATTCCGGTATCCCACTACTAATGTTTATTGTATTAAAAATAATAAAGGGAAAAGAGCCCCCCAAAGCCCAGGAATCTCAAGTTGAAGGTGAACTCCTCCTCCCTCTTTCCCCCTCGCCTCTTGTCAGGTCCTTGGGTGGGTCCTGAGATGACCACGACATTTTGGACCTCGGGGATGCGTTTCGGACGCTGCGGGTCCCCCAGGAGCCCCGTCTCAGCCTCGCCTCGGGGGCGCGGCTCCCGACTTACCGAAATTGGCCATCTGGAGGGTCTCGTTGCCTGACTCCGGGACGTTGTAGATCACCGCGGCCTCCGCCCCCCTCCGGTTGGCGGTCTGGATCTTCTCGGAGAACGTGCAGTTGCCCCGCTCGATAAGAGCGATCCAGGGTGTGTCGCTATAGGTGAATTCCGTGTGGGGGTCACAGGCCTGGTAGTTCAAGCTCTTGGGGATGCCCACCTTGCCGCCAGCGTTGGCCACTGGAGACGCCAAGCCGTAGATCCCGCACTCGCACACCTCGGTGGTGGAGTGGTTGCTGCTCTGGTTGTAGTAGGTGACGGTGACATAGGCGTTGGTGGAGTAGGACTCCGGGGTCTGGAAGAGGACGGTGAGCAGGAGGAGAACCATCAGCCCGCACTTCTTCTGCAGCTTCATGGCTGGGGTGCAGCCGAGGGCTGCCCTCTCCCACGTCCCCCAGAGAAGAGAAAATAAAATAAAGGGGTAGAAAGTACAAGAAAGGCCAGCGACGAGGACCGTCGCTGGGCTCAATTCGCAGGCAGCGGGATCTGCTCGCGCCCCTGCTCAAGTACAAGTTTGAAATTTCAGTTGCCCGCAGGTAAGTGATCTCCTTCACAGCCCCGGCAGCTCTGAAGGCTGCAGCTCCATTTCACAGTATTTGAGATGCCCCCTCCCCACGCCCCCAGCGCAGGCCCCGCCCTCTGAGGGGGAGAAAAGGGGGGGGCTTCCGCATGCCCCGCCTCTCCTCCCTCTCTATCTCCCTCCTCCCTCCCCTCCCCGGGTTGGGCGCGCGGAGGCACTAGCACCCTCGCCTGGGCTTCGCACCGAAGCTGAGCGCCAGGGGGATGGATGCCTTACTGCGCGGGCATCGACATTTTCCTCTCTGTTATTCCAACCAGTGTGTACCAAGCAGCTTGGAATGAGGAACCGGACTCCGGGGAGCCCCACGTGATGCCTGGGTTGAAAGGCACCTCTCTCCTGGCCTCTGAACCACCAAACTGGTTTTCCAAGCCCGGCTGAGATGTCGTTAACCAGTTGAGACTCCTGGAGAGGTTAAGATTTCTCTCTTTCTCTCTCTCTCATCCCTCTCCCTTTCTGTCTCTCTGTCTCTGTCTCTCCCTGCCTCTCTCTCATCCCTCTCCCTCCCTTTCTGTCTCTATGTTCTCTCCATCTCTCTCCTCTCTCTCTCTGTCTCTCTGCCTTTTTCTGTCACTAGAAGTGATTATTGAAAAAATTTATTTCAGAAACCTTCCTGCTTCCCCCCCACCCCCATTTTTCAGTCCAAACTTAAGCAGTTAGATCATTAGGATCTCAAACCTAGAAATGGAAGGGACCTCGGAGACCACCTAGTCCAACCTCTCATTTTACAGAAGAGGAAACTGAGGCCCAGGGAGGGTAAGTGACTTGCCTAGGGTCACACAGGAAGAATCAGAGGTTGAATTGGAACCCAGGTCTTCTGATTCCAGATCCAGTGCTCTTTTGAAGGTAGGTACCACACTACCTCCCCAATCAAAGAACAAGCATTATTAAATGCCTACTGTGTGCCAGGCTCTGTTAGACACTGGGGTACAAAGACAACCCTCCCCCCCATCCTAGAGGAGTGAGGAACAGCTCTCCTGAGGCAAGAGATCCTTCCCACTCAGGGCCTTGCACATAGTAGGCACTCAAATGTCACACTGATAACTCTGAGCAACTACATTCCATACATTTTTATAGTCCCACACCCATGATATTCTAAACAAGTACATTGCTTGCTCAAGGTTTAATTTTTAACATGAAGCATTTTTTACTTTTGACATTACTAAACCCTCTTTCATTTTAAGCTCAACTTTTATCAGGAGTCAGTGCTGGGGGGTCTCTGGTACCAGTGGGAAGCTGGGTGCAAAAGAGTCCAAGGTACAGTACAAGCAAGACAAACATAGATAACGGGGAACCTGAGGGGGCCAAAGGTCAGCCTCAGAGTAGACAAGCAGGCAGCAGGCTGGGAGAGAAGCAGGAAGACGCTGGGACCCTAGGCTAGTCTCAAAGACAATTCAAAGTCCAAGAAAAGTGGTCCAGGCCAGGGAGTCTATAGGAATCAAACGGAGCAAGGTCAGGGGTGTGTGAAAACCTGAGCCAGAGTTAGGGAGATTGTATCTCTGAAGAGGCTTCCTGCATCTCCTGAGGGACCCTAGAGGGCTGGAGAGTCATAGCTATAGTTCAGAGCAGGGCATTGATGGCATTGTGATGAGGGTGGAGGAGGAAGGGGGTGACACCTCTTGATGATAAAATCTGGAGACATATACTATACAAATCAATCAGAAAAAAGGTCTCTGTAATAAATAACAGAGACCAAAGGATGCATTGAAACCAGGTTTTGAAGTGAAGTCCAATAGGTATCTATTGATCTTCTCCAAGGCTCTGTTCTGGACCCTTTTCTCTTTTCCCACTATAGTCTTTCTCTTGGTGACCTTTTCAGCTCCCCAAGGGTTAATCACCTTCAAAAATGACTCTTGGATCTACCTCTCCAGACTTAGTCTTTTCCTTAAGCTCCACTCTTATCACCAGCTGTATATTGGACATTTCAAACAGGATGTCCCACAATCCTCTCAGACTTAACACGTCTAATACAGAACTCATTATTTTTCCTCCAAACCCTTCCCTCTTCCGAACTTTCTATTTCTGTTGAGGCCAACACCATCTTCCCAGGCTCCCAATTTCCCAAACATGGAGTGATCTTTGATTCTTCTCTCCCACAGTCCTCACATTCAGTCAGCTGCCAAATCTTTCATTTCCATCTCCACAACATTTCTCACAACTGTCTTTTCTCTATTCGCACAATCACCACCTCAGCTCTAGCCATCACCACCTCTCATCTGGACTGGGGCAATAGCCACAGTCTCTGTTTCATTTCTCTCTTCGCCACAATTCTGTTTCTAGCTGTTAAAGTGATTTTTCCTAAAGTACAGATTCAACTTCATTATTCCCATTCTCAATCAACTCTAATGGCTCCCTATTACTTCAAGGATCAAGTGCAAACTTTGGCATTTAATGATTTTCCAACCTGGCCCCAGCCTACCTTGCCAGCCTTATACTCACTCTACAATGCAGCCAAACCTCACCCTCCTTCTTCTGTCTTTTTGTCTTTGTACTGGCTGTTGCCCATGCTTGGAATAGATTTCCTCCTTACCTCCCCCCAACAGACCCCCTGGTTTCCTTCAAAGCTTAGTTTACACCCCACTTTTTTTTTCTTTTTTTTTGGCTAGGCAATGGGGTTAAGTGACTTACCCAGGGTCACACAATTAGTGTTATGTGTCTGAGGCCGGATTTGAACTCAGGTCCTCTGGAATCCAGGGCCAGTGCTCTATCCACAGTGCCACCTAGCTGCCCCTACTTTCTGAATTCTTAACATCTATAGTTCTGTCATTGAAACAAATGGAATCACAGAATTTTCCATCAGAAGAGATCTCAGAGGCCATCTAATCCTGCTAAATAATCTATTCTGTGTCCCAACATTAATCTCCTTTATAACATAGCTAACGAGTGGTTATCCAGACTCTGCCCTCTGGAGCCAAGTGGAACAAAGCTCATCTTTCTTCCATGAGACAAACCTTCAAATATTTGAAGATGGCTACTATATACCCCCAAGTCTTATCTTCCCCAAATAAAACATGTGAAGTTCTTTTAGCTGATGGCACATGGCTTCATCTCCAAGCCCTTACCTGTCCAGGGTACCCAGAACTAAATGCCATATTCCAGATCAGGGCAGAGTACAGAGGAATTATGAACTCACTAGTCCTTGACACTGTGACTCACTCAGTGCAGCCTAAGATTGCATTTAATATTCAGCTACCATGTCACAATATTGATTCATATTCACAGAGAATCTCAGGATTTCAGCCCTGGAGGAACTTTAATGGCCACTTTAGGGGCAGTGGATGGAGTTCTGGGTCTGGAGTCAGGAAGACCTGAGCTCAAATCCAGCCTCAGACACTTAACTAGCTGTGTGAGTCTGGGCAAGTCACTTTACCTCTGGTTGCCACAGTTCCTCAACCATAAAATGAGGGTCACAATGACATCTACCTCCCAGAGTTGTAAGGATCAAACGAGAGATTACTTGTAAAGTGTTTAGTAGGAGCTATTAAGCTCCTTAATTTATTAAATTATATTTATATTATGTTATAAATTATATTATAGCATTTATTAAAATGCTTGCTCTTTTCCCTTCCCCCTTTTATTTGGTGATTTCTACCCATTTTTCTGGATTTTGTCCTGTGTTTTAAAGCATTATAAGTTCAATGCCTACTCCACACAATAGCTCTTCAAATACTTGAATACAGCTATTCCATACCCAAGTCTTCTCTTCCCCTAGCTAGACATGCACAATTCCTTTAATCAGTCCCCACAGGACATGGCCTCTGGGCTCTTCTCCATATTTGCCCTCCTCTGGATGTTCTTCATGTTATTACTATCCTTACTAGAATGTTGGGCCCAGAACAGAATGAAAAACTGGAGTTGGGTTGTAGTGCCTCTCTTAATGAAGGCTAAGATGGCATTAGCTTTTATGGTGGCCACATCATGCTGCTGACTCATATTAAGCTTGTAATCCATTAACCCCCCCCCCCCCAGATCATTTTCAGTTAAAGAAGGTAAAAGATAAGTTATCAAGGGAAGGAAAAGGAAATTGGATGGTGGTTGTCAAACTGTTAAGAGGTGCCAAAGAGGTTGTCAAGATGTTAAAACAAGCCAGTTGAAAGGCAAAGACTGAGGAGCTTGTTTCTCATAAGTATGGAAAGCAGGGAGGATTTTTGCAGTGACTTCCTTTTAGCATGCAATGTTTGTATCTCTGTCACAGGCAAGTGGCTGTTATCTATGCTCAAAGTGCAAGCTGGTTTACCTCCTAGGAGATAAGGTGAAGTGGCTCAAGGAACACCTCTTCACACTCCAGGTAATCAGGGACAATGCAATGTTCCAAAAAAATCAAACACTTGGGAGAGAGGTTCCAATGCGTACAAAAGGAAAAGGGGCTAGCATTTTGCTGGTGTCTCGCAATGTAATCAAAAGGAGAGGAAAAGGGGGGAAAACTGCCTACATATTATCCATGAAGCTAGATTCCCTACAGAATAGTTAGAATCAGAAGAATAGGAGTTGAGGTCACCAGATGTTAACTGGAGACAAAATCTAAAAAAGGAGTTGAGGGTAAATAAAACCTATGGTGGCTCTACAGTGGATAGGGTGAGGGCTTGGAGTCAGGAGGACCTGAGTTCAAATCCAGCTTAGGACATATACTAGCTGTATAACCCTGGGCAAGTGACTTCACCCTGTTTGCCTCAGTTTCCTCATCTGTTAAATGAACTGGAGAAGGCAATGGCAAACCATTCTAGTATTTTTTGTCAAGAAAACCCCAAATGGGGTCATAGAGAGTCAGACACAACTGAAAATGACTGAACAACAAAAATACATCAAATATAATATATAAGGTATAATAGGCAATAAGCATGATGAACTTGAGGTTTTATCATAAAGATAGATGCCAACTTGACCTTATGGATCAATTGAGGCAGAAGCCGAAGTGATTTTTCTTTTTCATCAGAGTATACTAGAGACTACTTGGACAGAAGAGAGAAATAGGGGAGGTGGCTGGGAAACATCAAAAGCCTGGCAGTAGTGATGGGTGAGGGATTTCATTTATCTAGCTATCTGCTAGCAGGGGTGGGGAACCTGTGGCCTCAAGACCACATGTGGCCCTCTAGGTCCTTGGGTGTGGCCTTTTGACTGAGTCCAAATTTCACAGAATAAATCCCCAACTTGGACTCAGTCAAAAACGCCGCACCCGAGCACCTAGAGGGCCACATGTGGCCTCAAGGCCGCAGGTTCCCCACCCCTCTAGCAGCTAGAGTTTTCTCATCCAAAAACAAAGCAGCTACTAACTTCTTGACTTGCGTTTTTTTTTAAACCTCCAGGTGGTTCCCAAAGCTATTCACAGGGGAACCTTAAGTTTACCCTAGGGCTCTAGTGCATTGAATTCCTCCTATGCTCTCTCTAGTTACCAGACTCAGCAAACCATCTGTCTCTCTGCCCCACTTCTCTACAGGGTCGTGTCCCTAGTTTACAGGCATGTGAACTTGAGGGTCTCCCCTCCCCAATCAGCATTAGCTCCACGGCCCTGCCCACTAGCTAACTCCACCTCCTTTGAACATTCTGTCAGTGAACTCTAGTCACATGGCCTTGGAATTATGTCCTTGGTTCCCTATGGAAGCAGATACACCTGCTGAATGCTGAGTGTTTTTCCTCTTAGCATGGAATCAATAAGGAAATAAACAATACTTAATGACTAGAACATAATGGATAATAAAATGTTGCAAGCTTTCTGTTCTCCTCAACCTCTTAATTCCCTTAGAGGTAGGCTCCATCTGGACCCAGGAATTCTGGGACATTCACAGTGGGAGTCCTCCCTTTAGCCAGAGTGCAATAAGGCAGTTTCTGTAAGATGCTCCACTTCCACACCCCTCAAGACTGGTTATCAGGTACAGCTTTTGGAAGCTCTGGGGTCAAGGTCTCAGCTCCCTGTTGGCACACATGTCCTCAACCTCATTCTGACTCCCCTTCCTTTTCAGCTTTCTTTTGTGCATTGACTTCTCCAATTAAATTGTATGCTCCTTGAGGGCAGGGGATGTCTTTCTTTTTCCCTCTTTGTATCCTCAGTGTTTAGCACAGTGCCTGGCACACAGTTAGTAAGTGTTTACTGATTCATTTATTGATAGAGCTGGAGCATGGGATCCAGTGGGAACTGGAACTAAGGAAGGCTGGTGATTTGTCTGGCTGCTAGACCATGTCTGGCCACAAGCAACTCCCTCCCCATTAGAGAGCCTGGTTAGTGTAATCAGCAGCCAGCCCAGGCTAGGAACAGTGATGCTATTGTCCTTACATATCCCTATGTCCCTCTCTTTCTGACCTGTACCACCACTGTCTGCTGCCACTGCACTTTCCTCTTTCATTCTCCAAGCCCCCTAACCCTGACCCCTTTCCCTTTGCTTCTCACAGAAAGAGGAGAGTGGTAGCTGTAGAATGAAGGACATTACACTTTAATGATAATTTTATCCTTCAAAAGGTGGAGAAACCAACATGGGACAGGTATATTCTGGATCAGATTTCTACCTGAAGGGAAAAATTGGTTACTAGAATGAAATGGTGGCCCTGGCTGGGGCAGGGGGTGGAGTGGGGGAAATTACTGTTCCTTCCTAGACATTGTGATAGAGATGGAGAGGAAAGACAATCATAATCTGACATGAACCCTAGATTTGGGGATGACAGATTTCCAAGGGTTCAAAGGAATGCTAGGTAGGGTCATAAGGGTCAAAATCCCACAGGAGTAGTCACTAAAAGTAAGCTCTCAGGAATAAAATTCTAAGAGCACAAAGAGAAACAATTCTGAGATGTAGGAAAAAGAGGGCTTATCCAAAGAGACCAATATGGCCTCACAGGGAAGTCACCAACTCTGATTTGGAGATGGAAGTGAAGAAGCATGGCATGGTTCTGTAAGGATACCGTCAGGAAGTCTAAAACTCTGAATGACCTTGGGCTGGTGGAGAAAGCTAAGGACAACCAAAAGGGCGTTGTTGATTTGTCTTTAAAGCTTTCTTGGGGGAAAAAATGGAAGATTACAGAAGGGAGAAGGCAAAAAAAGAAGGTATGGATGGAATGGTAGTAGCTGATGATAGAGAGAAGGCTGAGCTGCCCAGTTCTAATTTTGCTTCATTTTCTCCACCAAAGATCTTGATCTTTGGACTGGAAAGAACAGAGTAAAATTGACTCATATGGAGTTGACATCCAAGATAAGTAAGGAGTAAGTTAGACAGTGCCTCACTACTCTTGATGACTTCAAGTCTCCATGTCCTTGTAAGCTGCATCTTGGGTACTGAAAGAACTGACAGGTGTGGCTGCTGAGTCACTGGCAATGATCTCTCAAAGATCATGGAGATCAGGAAAGGTGCCCCACAATTGGAGAAGGGCAAATGTCCTGATTTTTCACAAAAGGGAAGAGAATGGTTTCTGTAAAATTATAGGCATTGATGCTTATTCCTTTTTTTCCTTATTTTTTCATTCATTAATTGATTTTTAATTTTTAACATTTTGAGTTCTAAATTTTCCCTCCCTCCCTCCACTCCCCCCCTCCCCAAGATGGCATGCAATCTGATATAGGTTCTACATGTATGATCATATTAAACATATTTCTACTTTAGTTATGTTGTGAAAAAAGAATAAGAACAAAAGGGAAAAACCACGAGAAAGAAAAAAACAAAAAACAACAAAAAAAGAGAAAATAGTATGCTTCAATCTGCATTCAGACTCCATAGTTCTTTTGCTGCATTGACGCTTATTTCAAATGATGATTTCATTGATGTGGTATTTACTTTTAGAGTGCTAGCTTCCAAGTGAGGAGGATCTGGGTTCAAGTTCTGCCTTTGACATATTGCTATGTGATTCTGGGATAATTTCCCCAGTAAATAAGCTCTCAGTGCCCCAAGTTGCCCTATCTAATAGATGCCAATCTGCATTGGTCCAGGGAATCTCCTCACTGGATGTCCCTTATATCAATGAAATCAGAGATCTAGATTACCCTCCCAAACAACAACTTCCAAACTTAAATTGGTAGATCAAAGGAATGTTCTAAATTTAGTTTACCCAGAGTTTAGCAAAGCATTTGATAACGTCTCATGTTAATTTTTTTTTTTAATGAAGACATGTGGACTAGAGGATGGTACAATTAGATATATCCCTTGGCAGACTAGATTCTAGTCTCTCTAAATTCTCCAATAGGGAAAGCACCTTATGTGAAGGTCTTTGGGTACTATCTGGCCAGAAATGTCCAACTCAGGCCTGCAGACCACTTCTGCATATACTGCCGAGTCTGACCCTAACCAGATCAAAATGTAATTGGGAAATCTTTTAAAAATTAAGATACGGGGGCAGCTAGGTGGTGCAGTGGATAGAGCTCTGGCCTTGGAGTCAGGAGGATCTGAGTTCAAATCTGGCTTCTGACACTTGACATTTACTAGCTGTGTGACCCTGGGCAAGTCACTTAACCCCAAATTGCCTCACCAAAAAGAAAAAAAAAAAGAAAAGATATAATACAACATAGATGATGTGAATTTGTGGTTTTCTAAGTCAATATGTAGCCATCAGGGATGGACTGTATTTGAGTTTGACAGCACTGGTATAGTGGATAGAAAGTCTACCCTAAAGTCAATCAGTCCTGGGTTCAGATCCTAGCTGTGACATATGCTATCTTGGTACAAGGCATAACTTCTCAGGGACCTAGCCAACTCTCTCGCTCTTTTTTTTTCTTTTTTGAGGCAATCGGGGTTAAATGACTTGTCCAAGGGTCACGTAGCTAATAAGCATCTGAGGCCAGATTTGAACTTAGGTCTTCCTGACTTTAGGGCCAGTTAATTTTGCCACCTAGCTGGCCCTGACCTAGCCAACTCTCTAAAACCCTAACTTTTCTCTTCTTCACACACTCTCTGGTCCAGGTCTACTGGCCCAATTACTGTTCTTTACACATTATACTCTATCTCTGTCTTCTTGGTGCCTTTGTACCAACTGTCTTCCATACCTGCAATGCTCTCTTTCCTCACCTTACACCTTTCCTCTCTTACAATCTCTAGCTTCCTCCAAGACTTAGCATCTGCAGAATGCTTGACTGGTTGTTTGATTTGCATTGGTGGCATGAATTTCCTTGTGTGAAATTATCTGTTCTAGACTAATGAAATCACAGACACAGACTGAAGGAAAAATCCAACCTATATAGCTTTGACAAGAAAGAAAGCATCTCATGTTAGGGATATGGCCAATATCTGGAGCAAAATGGTATGGTACAAGTAAAATGACACAATCCCTAATTCAGGAAGAGTCTTGGGGGTCATATTGTCCAACTCCCTCATTTTTGATGGAGAAACTGGGGCCCAGAGAAGGGAAAGGACTGCATAACTAGATTGGAGTCTTTTTGGTGGGGAGGGAGAGGAGGAATAGCATTCACTCAATTATGAAATGCACAGATTATCCATCTTAGAAGAAACCTGGAGGCAGGCTGGGCAGGTGGGCAGGCAATTGGGCTGGTGGGCAATTCACATTTCCCCCCACGTGTCAATATGACCTGAAGGCAGTTCAGTTTCCATGGAAAGTCAGTCCTTTGAGTGAAGGCTGCCAGCACGTGTGCTTTAGGCAGTGACTTCAGAAAAACAAATCATTTCATATAAGACACTGAAGAAGAGTGATCAGATGCAAACTAATGAGAATTGAGTCAGTTCCTAAATATTTCAATTACCTAAGCATCCATAAAAGGCCTACTGTGTGCCAGGTACTAGGCTAGAAAATGGGTGTCAAGCATCATAAAGTAGTTAAATATTCACCGTAGTTAATTATTGCACCTGGGGATAAAATAAAAAACCATCTCTACCCTCAAGGAACTTGTGCTCTATTAGGGGAATTCATTGTATTGTTAAAGAGCCACTCATTGGAGAAGGGTCAAATTTTAATGATACATGAAAACCTGATTTGGGGACTGTTATTTTCCAGTGATGACTCCGAACCCCAGGTATTAATTACAAATACAGCACTTCCACCTTGATGGAGAACTTACGTGTTTGGCCCAATGGGAAACATTCAGAACATAAAACCACCCAATGCCTTGGGGGCCTAGAGGAATTCTTGATCTCAATTGCTATGAAACAATACTTCAGCTAACAGTTTCTTTAACCTGATGCCCTCATTATGACTTTTCAAATATTTGGTTTTAAAATGTCACCTCAAAGTGATACAATTTCATCACTTAGCAATTTACTTTTTTAAATGTTCTTGTTTTTAAGCAGTGTTCACTGGTTTAGAAATCGTGTTCACATGGAAGTGTCAATGTTAGCAGGGGTTATGGGAAGACAGGCACACTAATACACTGTTGTTGGAGCCATAAATTGGTTCAACAAGCCTGGAAAGCAATATGGAATTATGCCAAGAAAGTGACTAAAATGTCTATATGCCCCAAGGAAGTCCAAGATAGAAAGAAAGGTCTCAAATACGCCAAAATATTTATGGCAATAATTGTTAGGGTAGCAAAGAAGCGGCGGCAGAGTTGATGCCTGTTGATTGTAGAATGGCTAAACAGATGGTGGTCCATGAATGTAATGGAATATTGCTGTGCTGTAAGAAATGATGACTATGAGGGATATAGGGAGGCATGGGAACACTTATATGAACTGATATAAAGTGAAGATTCTAGAACTAGGAAGACAATATACAGAATATACACAGCTGACTCGCCCCAGAAACCTTATCTATGTTCTCTCCCCCAATTAGAATATGTGATCCTTGAGAGCAGGGACTGTCTTGCAATTCTATTTGTATGTTCAGCATTTGGCACATCGTAAGTGCTTAATAAATGCTTTCATTTGTTCACACACAACAATATTAATGGAAAGAACAATGACAACAATTGAAGCTGAATGCCGTGAATTTCTAATGACGGGGCTCTGTCCCAAAGAAGAGAATGCATCTCACCTCCCTTCTTTGCTGAAGTGGAGATCTATGGTTGGGAAACATTGAACATACTCTTGGATTTGATTGTTATGTTAGTTTTGCCAAACTGCTTCTGTCACTGCCCCCCCTCCTTTTCTGTTTAATTCTTTGTTATAAAGGATGACTCTGAGCATGAAAAGGGGAAGGGTATATTGGGAAAGGAAAATGATGTAAAAACAAAGAACATTTTTTTTTAAAAAGAAAATGTTGTTCAAGAAGACATACTCCAGGGGCAGCTAGGTGGCACAGTGGATAGAGCGCCAGCCCTGGAGTCAGGAGGACCTGAGTTCAAATCCGACCTCAGACACATAACACTTACTAGCTGTGTGACCCTAGGCAAGTCACTTAACCCCAATTGCCTCATATAAAAGAAAAAAAAAAGAAGATATACTCCATCTTTACTCAAATGGCAGAGATCTAGGATATTGATGATATATACTCAATCCAGATCAATAAGCATTTATTAAGTATTTACTCTCGTGCTAGGCGCTGAGGATCAATGATGTCTGGGTCCTCTTCAAGAATGAAGGACAAACAACAACAGATACTGAGAATACAAAGGCAAGCAAAAAAGAAAAATAGTTCTTTCCCTCAAGGAGCTTATATTCTAATGGGGGAAGAAAACACATAAAGATCCTGAAAAGAAGGGGAGGAGGAATGCAAGGGGCATGATGGAGGAGTCCTGATTGCAACCTGGTGAGAAATGGAGAGATGGCTGGCCTGGAGCTGTCCAATCAGAGAGAGGGACAGAGTGTACTTCCAGTGTGAATTCCAGGGCAAAAATGACCTTCCAGGAAGGATGAAGAGATTTCTGGGACGTGATAGAGAAGTCGAGTACAAGTCAATGCAGCGATAAACAAAACGAAAACATCCAGATGACAAATATTGGACAATAATCAAATGCACCCTTGCACTAATTTGTGTATCCTTTTCTTATGTCATCATCACCATCCCCTGCCTAAAACAGCACACCAAGCCCTTTCTGTTACAGTCGTTTCTAAACGTGTAGCTCCCCTTTGAGCTCCCTCTCAGTGGCTTCCCCTGTCTCTCTGGGTAGCACATGACCATGTCCCTTATGGAGCTTGTACCAAGTGGGATCTTGTCAAGCCTGGAAACTCACTGGGAGCTCCCATCAGGGCTTTTTATAACTTTCTAATGCTTGTCCCTGAACCAAGCTTGATCACTGGGATGAAGTCGTAGTCATTACTAAAACCTGCTGCAAGTTTCCTGGTGTGTTTAATAGGGTAACTCTGTACCTGCCCCTGCCTAGAGACAGTAATGGAGTATATGCCAAAGAGCAGGTGATGCATAATCACCTATTTTGTGTGCACTAAAGACAAGGGAGATTTGGAGTGGGGGTGGGCAAGTTCCATATGGAAGCTAAATGTTCTTCTTCGTTGTTGTTGTTTTCCTCTTCATAGGGGGTGTTTTCTAATGATAATTTTGAACAAGGCAATGGATCCCTTTAGATAGATCAGGTCACAGCAATATGCATCTAATGAGAAATGGGTAAATTAAAACTGTGAATATTCACAAAATTCCAACATGTATACCATTTCCTTTTCCTTTGAGCACAATTGATTTAATTTTTAAAAATTTATTGATGTTTTTATGCCTTTCTTTTTTCACCTCTCAGTCACTTCCCAGTGTCCTTCCAACTGCAAAATTGTCCCATGTAGCAAAGAAAAACATTTAAGCAAAAACAACTGACAAAAAACCATCTGTCAATGTGTGTAATCTTCTGTACCCATAGTCCCCCTTCCTCTCTAACAAGAAGAGGGAAAAAGTGCAATAGATTTTCAGCCAAACAATTTGATAAGTCAACATATTTGAAAGCCTTTTGATCTGATGCTAATATCAGCTAAGAAAAAAAAAAACAACAGCGCAGTATTTAGGGGAATGCCCTTGGTGTCAGGAAGAACCTTGGGCTAGTCCTTGGTCAAATTCATATCTGCAACTCATCTGTGACTTATAGTCTTAGGGAGGTGAAATGACTCGCCTATAGCTAAACAGCTAGTATATTTCAGAGGCAGGACTTGACCAAGGTTCTTCCTGACATCCAAGGTCATTCCCCTAAACACTGCATCGGCCTTTTTTTTTTTTCTTAGCTGATTATCAGCATCAGATCAGAAAACCAACTAGTTGTATGGCTATAGGCAAGTCATTTAACCTCCCTAAGACTCTAAGTCACAGATGAGCTGCAGGTATGAATCAGTGGAGGGAGTTTCAACTATACTGATGACCAAAAAAATTGCCATCAAAGCCTCAGTTACTCCTGATTGCCACCTCTGTTGACATTTACTAATGATACCCACTAACCTCCCCAGCACCCACAATGCAAGTTGGATTATTCACATTACAAAATTCTTTCCTTTTCAAAATGAAAACCAGTGAACTTCCTTCCTTCCTTTTTTCTCTTCTTCCATCTTTCCTTCCTTCCATCTTTCCTTCTCTCCTTCCTCCCTTCCTTCCTCCCTCCCTCATTCCCTTCTTCCTTCCTTCCTTCCCTTCCTTCTTCTCTCCCACCCTCCCTTCCTTTCTTCCTCTCTCCTTCCCTTCCCTCCTTCCTTCCTCCCTCCCTCCCTCCCTTCCTTTCTTCCTGTGCATTTAAAATAGGATTTGAGTTTCACTAGTTCAACATGCACTCCCCCCCTTCAAGAAAACCTTTGTTGCATGAAATGAGACATATTTGTCTCCCCAGTACTAAAAAATCCATGTTATTACAAGTAACCAAAATGAATGTTAGACATTTTTCAGAATCACACTGTCCTTTTGAAACATCTATGTTTGGCTAAGTTAACAATGTTTGCATGAAGCTCTGCAACATAGAGTGGCAACTGTACTGAGAGAGACTACTAGGTCCCAATCCTAGTTCTGCCCTTACGAGGAGCCATGACCTTGAACAAGTCCCTTCCCTTCTCTGGGACTCCTCGGTTTCCTCTCGGTAAACCTGATCTCTGAGGTCCTTCCCAGCACTGACATTTTTGGCAGGATCCTTGTCCCATAGAGAACTTTGCAGATTTTTAGATACCTTCTCCCATTCCCCCTTTTCCTCATAGTTTCACTCTGGTTCAGTTGATGTGAATGACAGGTCTTCTGTACAATCAGTAAACATTTCTGTGACAATCATTTCTTTTGTATTTCATTCAATTTTCCAAGTCCCTAAACTTGGTTGGCACTGAATTTTTTTTCTCTTTAAATATCGATAGAATCATAGACCTAGAGCCGGAAGGGACCTTAGAGGCCATGGTCTAACTCTCTCATTTATATATAAAGACACTGAGACTCAGAGATGATTAAGTTACTTGTCCAAGGTCACACAGGTAATGAACGGCAGAGCTGGGATTTGAATTCAGGTCTTATGATTCCATATTCACTGTTCAAAATTCAGTACTCTTTCCATTGTGTCCCAAGATCTTTCCTTGGGCTTCGCTAATAGAATGTCGCCTTCATGAGGCCTTGGTATCCCCAGCACCTAGAACTTAGCATAGTGCTTGGAACATTAGGTGGTCAATAAATGCTTGTTGATTTATTAGTTATTCCCAGAAGTCTGAATTAGGAGAAATGCATGGAAGTTGCCGAGAGAAAGATTTCATTGCCTGTTAACAACCAGAGCTGTCTCAAAGTGGAATGGACTGTTTTGGGAGGTGGGTGTCTCCCTCTCATGGAAGGTCTTCAAGCAGAGGCTGGATATGTCATACACATACCTGTCAGTTATGTGATAGTGGACATTCCTTTCTTATATGGGTTGGAGTAGATAACCTCCCAGCTCTGTCCCAGCTTGGAGCTTCTTGGATTTCCATTGGTCCCTGTTCAATTTCTTTCTTGCCTTTCAATAAACATCTCTCAGGGTGCAGAGGAAGGTTCTTTGTGGAGCATCATGCAGATAAAGTTCAAAAACTCCAAGGCAACTCAATTTTTCAATGACCATCAGATAAATGTACCCTAGTTCCCTCCCCCTAGGGTCATTCTTGTCCATTCCCTTTGCTATGTCTCTCCTGCTCAAAAGAAGTACACCTAGAATTGCCCCCATCACAAAGTCCTATGAAAAACCCAAGCAAAAGCTGGCAGGAGGGAGATATACAGTCTTTTTCTCTGTTAGGAACATTTTTTAATTTCCTTTAGACCAAATGCATGAGCATGTTTGGAAATAAAAGCTGTAGCTGTGATCAAAATGAACCAGCCTCCTTGGGATATCACAAATCAACAGGGCTTGCTGATGTAATTCATTAAATGCTTAATGTGGATTTTGATATGAATGAAAAACCATTTATTATGGTTTCAAACCCTGTTTTCCTTCTCTTCTCCAGGGATGCCTGTTTTCAGTTCCCAGACAGTAAAGTAAATAGTTTGGCTTTGCTGAATGGTGCCAGCCAGTCTCTGCATATGGCTGCCATCTTGGTAAAGCTAAAATGTGATACATGGTACTCCATCTCTGGAAAAGCTTACTACGGTGGGGAAACAGTCTGCTAGAAGCTGTTCCTCCATATCATAGCAATAGTCATTCATACCTTCAGTCAGGAGAATTCTAACAGAAGCTGAATCTGGCATGAATAGCCAACATGTATACATGTGTTTGCTTTTTTTTTTTAACCAGATCTACGATTTCATTGGTGGATGGAACTCCCAGTGAGGATATTCCCTCTACCAATGCAGATTGGCTTCTGTACTCCAATTTATAGTCTTAAATAAGAGTTGCCAAGGAATCAGCTTGCCCAGGGTTGCACAGCAAGTATATTTTTGGAGGCAGGTATCAAGCCCAGGTCTTCCTAATTCCAAGGCGAGCCCTCTAGCCACCATGGCACACTGTTCCTATGTGTATGCTTCCGAGAGTTTAATCCTACAATTTCAGAGTTCAAAGGGAGTTCAGAGGTCGCTCGGTCCAACCCTCTACCTGACCTAAAATCTCCTGTATAACATCCCTCTTAAGTGGTTTCCCAACTTCTGCTCAAAGATCTTTAGCAAGGGAGACATTGTCCTGAGACTGCACATTCTGCTTCTGGACATCTCTTTCTATTAAGTTTTTCCTTTTACTGGGATACCCACACCAATCAATCAATCAATCAATCAACAAGTAAGCTCCTACTATGTACTAGGCACTGTATGAAATGTGCTTCTTTATAACATCTAACCATTGCTCCTACTCCTCCTGCCCTCTGGGGTCAAGCAGAACAACAAGCCCATACCAATGGGACTAATATTTCAGCCAGGAGATAGCACTGGTAAGCATCCAAGGTACCATCATTACAGTGAACTATGGGCACCTTCCATCCCCAAACCAGGCATTCAAGTCAACAGTTTAGCTTATGGTAATTAGTAATAGCATACAGTATTTTTCCATTAGTCACAGTTCACAAAACTCAGTGATTAGGAATAATGTACACTCAAAAGACACATCATCTTTAAAATCCCCACAACAAAGTCCCAAGATCAGAAGGTCACGGAATAAGAGCTAGGAGGAACCTCAGAGGCCACTGAATCCAACCTTTCTTGATTTATAAGTGAGGAAGCTGAGGCCCGGAGAAGAGAAGGGACTTGTCCAGGGTCACACATAGGATCATAGCCCCAGAGCTG